TTTACCAAAAACAAACAATAATATTGAAGGTTGGCATAGAGCATTCTTGTCTTTGTTAGCTGCGGCTCATCCTACTATATGGCGACTTATTGAGGTTCTTAAAAAATAACATTTAACTGAAGTAAAAATTAATCAATTTATTAAATTATTAAATTAACAGCAAAAAAGAAAAAATAACGAGATATTGCTAGGCGTATATAAAATATTACGATATATGATGAACGTGATCTAGATGAGTACTTAATTGGAATCGCTCATAATTTAGAACTRCAACATTAAAATATTTTATGATAATTTTTTTGTATTTTTATTGCTTATATTTTATTAATTATATTACACATATTATTAAATTTACAYAATCTCGGTATAGTTTGAAGTTTGAATATTTCAGAAATAAATACAATATGGACGGGGAAATGTATTGGAGGGGAAATATCTTACGGGGAAACATGTGACGAGGAAATGTCAGACGGGAAGTGACCAAATACCATATACATGCATGCATACATACATAAATTTTTCACGTATTTTTCATAATACAAATCAAACCAATCGCTTATTAGAAACAATCGGTGTTRATTGACACATTTCACTTTGATCCCAAGCGTTTCTAATAAATGGCTTCTACTGTATTTTGAATCTGATTTAGTTAAGTATTTTAAGTCAAGAAATTTTTTTTTCCATACTTTATTCCATTAATATAAATAATTTAACGTTACTTTAAATAATATATTACAATTTTTAACTATGGTATTTTATATGTTAAAATACTGGATTATAATCATATTAGTATACCTACTGTAATAATTACAGAAATTAATTATTATTTATTTGATACTATACACAGAACTAATTAAGGTTATCATATTTTGTTATAAATTAATAAAATTTATGTTTAATCTACAAATATTAGTTCTTAGAGATTTCCAGTGACAAACTATTAAAATGTATTACATTTAATACAATTAAAAAATAAAACTTTTAGTTGCTAATAAAATAAAGATTTTTTGGTTCTTCTAAAAAATCATKTTTATGGTATACTTGGTATACAGGTCATTTACACTATAGTAGTAAACATGATCAAAATGCAAGTTACAAAAAATAAATACATATTTAATGGTTTATGATTTCAAAAGTTTAGAAACAATGATAAGACGGCAAAACAGTACAATAAAATGAAAAAAAATGTGATACTGCCATTAAAATAGCTACTGCTATCTTATATAAGTCAAACCATTAACATTGACTATGTTATTAGCTTGCATGTTTTGACGAAAACAAACACCACACATATCTGCTTACAGTGAAACAATTTTTTTATAAAAATGTATAAAAAAWWTTTAACTATTTTTCAGGGTTTTCTACTCATTTGTTAGCTCTTATACTAAAAATCAAGGGATACATTTTCCATTAATATAATTTACTTTTAAAATAACAATGACTACATGTTTGTATTAAATTATAAATTATAATTTATAACATGACACTTAATTTTTTTAGTCATATTTAATTATTAAAAATTCATTGGTTAAATGATGAAGACGAGAAATTAATAATATATTTATAAAATAGTATTTAATTTTAAATTTGTACTMCATTTCAAATGCAAATATCATTTTTGAAATTTTATAATCTTATACCGGAGTGCATGAACATTGAACATTTAATGAATCAATAGTGAGCTAAATGTCCTTTAAACATGATAATATAGTACCCATTCAATTTTATTGAATAATTAAAAATCAACTTTTTGTGCATCACGGCATTTACCTGTTATATACTCATAACACTATTCCTGAAAAAAATTTGACTTATTGAGCATTTTCTAATTTGACATAGATTTATATTAGATTAATATAATATTACCTATCATAAAAAAATCCTTCAATGTCTCAATCAGTATTTCATAGCAAAAATAGTTAGCTCCAGGTGAAATTTACAACTAGTGTATGCATTGCAATCAATTATAAGCGAAGTGTTGACACMTTTATATTTCTACCTTGAKTATAATAATACTAAATATAATATTCTATAGATACTAACCTMTCTACATTTGTGCGTTTCATAGGTGGAGTTCCCCGTCTAGGTGCGGTTAATGGTCTTTTTAAAGAACTGCCTCTTGGAGATGCATTCAAAGAAACTGGTCTTCCTCCTAAAAATACAAATAAATATACAATTGTGACTCCTTAATAATATAATAAAACATTTTGAAACTCACTCATAGTTGATCCTCTTTGTACATTACGTCCTCTAGGAGAAATCATATGTGGCAAGGCAGGCCTCATCATTGGACGCATGGCACGTTGCATAGGAACTGGCTGATTAGGCATCCGTAATGATTGTGTATACATACTAGGAGATAGGCTCTCAGGTAATGGTGGTACACCAGACTGTAACTGTTGATCAAAACCCATTGCTGGTAAACGTTGAACCTAATTAAAACAAACCAATTTAACTTTATACTGAAACCCTGATATAAAGAAATATATTATATCATTAGCATTTTAGCATTTATTAGTAGATTTAAATTCCTTAAACAATATCAACAACAAAATACATTTTAAGTGTAAAAATATGTGGGAAATAAGTAAAAATTTAATTTGACAAATAACATTTGTGTTACAAAAATACTCTAATAAAAGTTGTACACAATTAAATCAGCTTTTTAATTAGTATGACATAAAGATAAATTTCAGCTTTATCTAATTTAAAACCAGACTACCTAATGTTATATAGTCATATTTCAAAATAAAGGTGATTAGTATAACATAATAGTATACTTATACTAGTTGGTCYYTGGGCACTTTGTTGCCGACTCTATATGATTCAAAATTTTTGGTTAATTCATCATTTATACCCAGCTAGTCATGATAAAAACTTCCAGTGACAAATTCGTGGATTTACCCCCATCTTAATCTCCATAAAATAATTTTAACAYAGTCATTTAAAATACAGGTCTGAAAGTATATTCAATCATAATATTTTCTCGCATTTTTAGCTCAGTAAAGGTGAAACAATATTTATAAATTGGTACTTAATAACTAATTGTTAATTTCTTATTCATCCATACTAAATTTTATAACCAATAGCAACCATATAATACMCAAAAATATATTTAATATTATTATTATTTCTAAAAAAATCTCTAATTTAGAATAAAAAAATAGATTCATGGGATTGTGTAGCTTTCTGATAGTAAAAGCTTTTAAAATCAATTAAATAGTTCCAGAGATTAAACCAATCAAATAAACAATTTTTCTTCTTTATATTATATTTCTTAGTGCACCACTACATTGGTTAAGGAACCTCTGTACAAAATTGCAAGTCTCTAGACAATCTACACCCAGCGGTTTGGTCTAGGCGTTGATGAGTGAATAAGAACAGTCTCTTATATGTATCTYCCGCACACATGATGGCAACCATTTAGAAATAAAAAAAGTTTAAATTTTCACCATGGATCTCAAAGTCTCTATTTGCCCTCCTTTTTAAAATGCAAATATAGAAAAATCCTTTCTTGTTGCACTTTTAGATTATTTTACATAAGAGTGACCACTATTCCACTACCTAATGTTCTATATTTTGATTTGATTTTGTTTGATAAATGGCGCCACTAGATATAGAATTTCGAAAAATCTTTTCTTATTGCGCGTTGAAAATATGAGAAGAACCTCTATTCCAAATTACAAGTCTGTACGTTGTGTAGTTTTTGAGTGATAGCGATCAGCCGATCAGTAACTAAATGGTATTTGGATTTGATTTATATAGATTTCAATCAGGTCATTTTTTTTTAATCATAATAGGAGAAGTAGATCAAAAATTTCAAAAAATTGTTTGGTTACAATATAAAGTACTTTAAACATATTTATAGCTTGAAAAGAATTGTGTAAAACATTCCAAAAAAAAGATGCAAATGCATTGGAAACCTGAGCTCTAATAATAAGTATTTGTATAACAAATACTAAACTATAGAATAATTTAAATAATTTTTATTAATAGAAAACTAATATTAAAAATATGTTTTTACCTATTATCAAAATTATTGTATTATATTAATATTACTTGGTGTGCTAATTGTTGAACTGGTGATGGCATACTATTGTGAACTATACGTTGATGATCTAGAAACTCTTGTTGACTTGATTCTACTAAATGTTCACATTCCTTGAAAGAACATTTGAAATGTTTCATGGTTATTTTATGATCATTTAATAATTCTGAAGAATCATAATGTAATCCACAGACATCGCATGACAAATATGGCGGAGGAAAAGGCCCTCCACCATTTTGAGTTAAAAAATTTGGTGACCTGTCTATTTGTGAAGTCGATTGCATATTGATTCGAATTGCATTACGAGGATCAACTAAATCATCAAGAGAACGAACATTAACTTTAAACTTTTGTTCTTTAACCTGCTCTTTAATTTCATTTTTTTCAACACCGTTTTGTGATTGAGGTACTTCAGTATTTTTAGTTTCATTATCATTTTTTATGATAACTATGTCACCTTCTGAGTCTGATTCTTTTATTAACTGTTCTTCTTTTAATGATTTAATTTGTATCTTACATTCTTCTTTCTTAACTGCTGTAGAATTCTGAGGAAGTTCTTCAGTTTTTAAATCTACTACTGTATTAATAGATACATTCTTCTCCTCAGCTTTAACTGACACAGCTGGACTAGGTCTTTCAGTAAGTGATTCATCAGAATCATCTGACAATATCTCTATATCACTGTCATCAAAACTATTACCATTCTGAGACTCTCCTTCAGATTCCTTTTCATTTTCACCTGCATCAACAGAGGGTGATTTGTCAGAAGTGTTTTCCTGTCCAGAGTCCTTTGGATTTTCGCAATCTTCTTCGCCAGAAACACTTTCGGTAGTAGTTGTAAGTCTTCTCACAACCTGGAATTAATTAATATACATGATTTTTAATAAAAATTGGATTTTTATAAAATCAGAATATCCGGARTTGTAAAAAATAGCTGTATCAACACCTCTACCATTTGCATCCATTTACTTGTGTGAAAATATATAATGTAAATAAAAAATAAATATCAGTGGCAAACACCAAACCCACATAACCATTAAGTAAGTTTACTAATCAAAGGCGTTTTGAACGCGAGACAGAAATACGGAATGCACCGATATTGAAATGTGTGTGTGGATAAGTTAGTTTAGGAGTGTTGTTGTATGTATCTCCCGCTTTTCAATTTTTTTTTATATCGTTTTTCCTAGTTGTATTTTAATCAAAAGTTCTAGAAATTTGTACTTTTAACTCATTAAAGTATTAACTTCATTTGTTACCAGAAATTCACCAATAAAGTTAAAAACCAAAACATTTTCAATCCCTCAAAAGATGATGGCATATAAAAAAATCATTGTAAAATTGTTCCACCCAGAACCTAATATTAGGAATTTATTGCTCGRTGTATTACAACCGTAAGGGTATAGGATATGATTCAGTAATTTTAGTCAATCAACATAACATCAGAAAAATTTAAAATATATTATGTTATAATCTTGTACTCRTTAAGAGTAATTGAGAAAATATATATAATTGTTCTATACCCCATATAATAACAAGCTTTTATTAAACCAGATTGACTAAAATCAGAAATTTATAGGTATTACTAACATGTAATCATACTGATTAAGAAGATTAAAAACTAAAATGTATTATTAAGTTTCTCACTTCAAATGATTGGGTTGATTCCCTAGAAGAACTACTGCTACATGACCTTGTCTTTTTTAAAGTCACTTTGATTGATGACCCAGCTGGTGGATTTAATACTGTTGTAGGTGCATTATCATCTTCTGAACAATAAAATTTWAAAAAAAAATACATTAATATTTTATTTATATTATTAATTTGAAAGGAATCCAATTTTGTTGAAATTTAAAATTCCTGAAAATATATTCTTAAGTTTATCTGATGATTTTAAATTGCTGTAAGCACAACTAAAAGGAAACTYGAGTAGTTAAATTTTCAAGTCTTAGAAATTAAAAATTGAATATATTATTAATTTGCAATATATRATCATAATCAATATAAAAAACCTTGTACCTATTACATTTTCAAGCTATTTAACCAAGAAATTTTTTATTACTAGTAAAATTTGTACCTAAAATATTGAATGAAAATAAAAATTGTTACTATTGATAATCAGTTCACAATTTAAAAACACTACTGATTTCAAATTAACATTTTTTTTTTTTWTATATATATAGTAATAATTTACAGTAGTAAATTARCACACAACTATTGATTTAATCAATATAATGATTAAAATTATTTTATACARCAAAAACAAAGATAATCAYCAACATGAACAAAATAAATTATAAAAAAATAACAATTTTTATATATTATTATAATAATAAAGGTTAATTTATATAAATAGGAATTTATATAAAGTAACTTTAAATTAATAACTTTTATTGATTTCTAATAAAAATTTAATCAAATTACCTTCACTCTCTGGATTTGAACAAATAGAGGACGACTTACTGTCGGATTTCATTTTTGGTTTATCATTTCCTGTTAAAAAAATAATAACTATAAACATAAAGAACTTAAGAATGATATGTATTGCTGAGTATTATTAAAAATCTACTTCAATTAACAAAAACAAAAATTAAATACCTTATATTAATACCTAAGTTAGCAAGGTATATTTTTACTGCAAAATATAATAGAAAGTAAATCATCATATTATTTATTGATTCAACAAATAAGTAGCCACATAGATTTATAAATGCCAAAGATGATTTTATCCTGAAATTGTTGGTTAAAATGTCATGGTAAAATAATTTATTGTGTAATTAATGGCCCATTTTACAACAGTTAAACTAAGGTTATACTACRGAAATCAGCCAATAAAATCAATGGGTTAAGCGTAACTGAGGTTTAAACTATGATTGTAAAATATAACCTAAGTATATAGCAGGAAGTACAGGTACTGTCCATATAACAAGTTTGCCCACCTAACCTTTGGTCACACTGCAAGCGATATACCATTATAACAGTGAATAATTGAATCATATATTAAAATTATAAATGTATTATTTTTATTATTTATTTATTCTATTAAAATTTTATMAAAAATTCAAGATGATAAATTGTAACTTTCTATGTTGTTCATAACCCATTTAATCTAGCATTTAGCGCCTTTCTTATGTTTTATTAATTCAGTACCTATTATAGTATTATACTTTCATGATTGTGAGCTCTAAGTTTTATGACARTAGTATTTTTCCATCTGTAGTATCAATTATTTATTGCATAAGCTTTTGTGAAAAACAGGATGAATGAAAGAATCTGAACCTACGGGCTTTCTATTTAGACTTTTTAAGATTTTAAGCAGAGCAATGAATGTATTTATGGTTCATCGTAAAAAAAAAAGTTATAAACTAATATTTTTATATATGAAAGTATTAAGTATAATACATTTTATCAAAAACAAGCATTATAAATATTTTATATTCTAACTAATTGTATTACTTGACTTACCCAAGGATAAGTGAAACCAAGATGGGTAATCCATCTGAGGTAAAAGTAGGGTCTGAATTTAAATTCCCTAAAAAAATCAATAAATTCTCTAGAAAAATAAATGTTTTGCCTTAGAGGTTTCTGTTTCAGGAAACAAATTATGTACTTAGAAGCATTGTCCTAGAGCACCAAAAACATAATGCGTTTTTGACCATCTGGACCCTAGTAATAATTAACTGATTTTTCTTCCATAGTAAACGATTATCCATTTATAATTATATTATTCATTGCGAGTAAAATAACTAATTAAAAAAAAGGTTGTATACACAATATGCTTATATTTATAACAGATAACTTTTATTTTGTAGATTAATTAATGATTATTATCTGCTACATTATGTAGAGCGATATTAGTTACTATTACTAGAGTGGTTATTATTTGGTTTCTGATTTCAAAAGCAATTAAAATTGTCCTGCTCAAGTTGGAAAAATGTTAGTTTATTATTTGTATTATTTTCTTTCCCTGTGTAGACCTGGCATTAGTTCTGAGTATATCTTTTAGTTACTAGTTACTATGAACTTTCAATTTCCATTTGAGAGCATTGCATTTACCATGAAAATATATGCATTACTATGTTTGTGCATTGGTTACTCAGTTACTTAATTTCATTTACACCCTCTCAGTTCTGTAACTAGCTTTATGTGCCTCCTTGGCAACCTATGTTATAAATTTAAATGAATTTTTAGTATTTATATGATATAAAAATTGCACCCCTAGCACGATCATTATAAACTGCGCCCTTGGCCCCCGCCCACCTTGCCAATGCCTAGATACGACACTGCACATTTTAGCTCACTACAAATAATAATGTTATGGTTATAAGCAAGGTTGGTCAATGAGTAAAATAAATGTCTATGGCTAGTCTGTATTAATTTTTTTTTTTTAAATCTTATTTCTGTAACCAATAGTAATCACATATACAATAAACAAATAAGTATTTAATTTTCATGAAACAAAATAAAATTTATTTGTGGCCACCCTATATAGCCAGGGTGGTGCGTCAGAGGAAACTTAGTGATAGTGTTTTGCTAATTATAACATGCAAAATTAGGAATTTTATTTATATAATCCATATGTAAATCAATATACACATGCCAACTTGTCAACTATATTTACTATATAAATATATGTAAGTGTATGTAAGTATAAATTTAATATTTTCTCTAATGTGGTGTGTGTATACGTATGAATTAATGCACATAACATTTTGAGATATTTTCAAAATTAGTAATAATGATAGATGACCCGACCGTAAAACAAATAAGACAGTTGATTGACAGTCTCAATTCTAAAATGATAGAAGGTAAAAAATGGAGGGGGGGTTCACAGCGATAATTGTATTGATTTTTGTATGCAGTCCACACTAAGGTAACTGGATAAAAATTTAGGGGAGGCAATATTATTTATTCACCATAATCTAAGCCTTGACCCCTACCTCAGTTTAGTCTTAGAATTCGTTTTATGGTTTAGAAATTAATTGTAGGTCCCATAATATTTAATATTATTAAGTAGGTACCTACAAAAGATTTCATCAGTAAAAAGTGCAATAAATAGTTTTAAAAGTAAGTAGTATAAATATTATTTACACATATTTTATATTTGGGGAACAATAAATAATAAAAAAAATGACCAAACAATAATTTAATACACTGTTGTCACAACCACAATTTCAAGATAATAATCAGAACTCTGATTTTATAGCATTTGCTAATTGTTATAGAATACCTACAGATAAAAATAGCTGAATGAGCTATATATCTGTTCTATGCATCATGGACTCCAAATATGAAATTTTATAATGCTATATTATAGGTGCTATAAAATCCCAACATTAGTTATTAGGTATGTAACATTTTTTTTTTAAATTAATTACTTCAACTTTCATCTTTCTTAAGTGAAATCTCTCTATAACAGAATCACATGGTACCAAACATTTTTCCGTTATAAAGAGTTTTCTATCATAGAAAGGTAAAAATTGCATATATTATTTACTCGGGGACTATTGAAATTTTTCGTTATAAGGAGGATTCCATTTAATAGAGGTTTTACTGTACTTATATCTAGTTTTTATATACATAACACTTCAGGGTTTTATATTTATATGAAGCGATTAAAATTATTTAAATTTAAAATAGGTAAATAGATGGGTAATGTATTATACATTTCAATTAGCATTAAAATATTAAACATTTCTTATTAAAGCTAAAAACTGACCCTTCTTACCTTTAACTACCTACCACATTTTAATTTAGACTTTGCATGCAAATTTTTTTTAAACCATACTAAAATATTGTGTTTACAGTTTTAGTTTTAAAACTAGGTAGGCAATTTAACAGGTTCATACCTATTTAACTTAAACTTAGGTAATTACTTAATCACAAAATATAACACTAACCAGAGTTGTTCGATCTACTTCTGTTTGGGTTTTTTTTTTGGGTTTTCTTCCCTTTTTCTGAATCCATTGTACACGCTCTTGTATTGACCATTTACGTTTCAATATTGAATATTCCTAAACACAATAAAAAAAAAAATTTAATTTATAATAGATTGGTCTGCACAATTGGTTGATATGCAATTTTAGTGTAGAATTCTATATTATAAAGAAAATGCCAAAGTGTTCAAATTGTAAAGCCCAATGTAAAGAGAGATGCAAAAACCACATAACAGTAGGCTCCTCTGACGTGATCTAAACTAGATCTGTTTAGATCAGACAGTAGGCACACTGTGCAAACAGACAGACAATCCAGAATCATTAAGACGAAGATAGGCATGTACGCATACGTTGGATATGCATTTTACAAGGGCAGTTTTAGTCTAGGGGTTTCAACGCATTATGATTTTACCGAGGATTTTACAATAGTAAAGCAGCAGACACAATTACATAATATAGGGCATAATATTACTATAATTTTAAGCCTATATTTTATACCTGTAGCATATTATCAACAAAATTTGACGAGAAGTCAAGAAAGAATACTTGTGAGGTACCCATCTAATGTAATAATTGTTGTATAGACATCTAGGTATCTCGCATAACATGAAATCAGATCCACAAATCAAAATATCAATAAGGATCTGCCTATACCCAGATCTATACAAACATGTAGCCAGATGAGATGTTTAAGACACCTTCCTCGGACATGTAATTCAAAAATGTATAATATGTGTGAAAATTATATGTATAGCCCCCTTCCCAAGTTGTATTTACCTAAATATTGAATTAAGACACTTCACACCGCCCCCTTTAAAAAAATCCTGGCTATGAATCTTACCTGTTATCTATGGAACTAAATTTTTATAAATACTCCGATCCCAAATGATTTTAAAATGTCGAACAACGGAGAATGAAAATCTATGCAATAAGACATCCGGACAAATAACATTATTATTATTACGATTTACGATCGCGTTGATACACGACCCAGTCCGAACACCGTACTTGGAAATATCGTTAGGGCGGCCCATACCGGCTTACCTTTATCGTAGTTTTAACTGAGTCCGATTCCGTGTGCTGCTGCAGCTGTTCAGATGTCCTCAAACAACATGACGATAATGATATACCCAATTGTTTCACAAACAACGATAACTGGATAATTTTACAAAGCTCACAATACAAATTAAAAAAAAATATATATTATCGTTATCCGTTGTATTTATAACATTATCAACGATGAAAATAATAAACAACAACAATCCACTTGAGTTTAGGGAAATAATAATTAATTGTAATGTTGGCGAGCGTGTGATTCGGGAAAAGATATCTGGCCGAAAAGAGACCGACAAATGACAATCGATATACGATACACGCGGAGTCGCAGACCGGCGCACAGGCGCGAGACCCCGTACGCGATAAAACCGCTAATGGGGAAAGCCGGGAAAGGAATCAACACCGTCACACCGAAGCGAACCTTACTGAATCATGTGAGCGAGTCAACGGAGTGCGGACAATTCGCCCGATTCGGACGAAGAACGGCGGCACCGGAATGCTGATCAGCGGAGCGATTCGTTGGACGACGACGGTGCACGAAGTGTAACGAAGGTACGCCGTGTCGGTCAGAGGCAAAATGGAGCGCTGCCCGTGTCGAATGTTGTGTGGTGCTCAATGCTCATTGCTCACAAAGTCACGACTGTCAGACTGTCGAGTGTCGACTGCTCGGGAGTCGGGACGCTCGGGTTACAGTGTCGAACACACGAACTACCGGCCACCGCCTATAGCGTGACCACCCGAACAGTCCGCCGTCGCCTTCCCGACATAAACCACCGTTTGGCCACCCACCCACCTATCCGGTGACTACGGCTGTCGGCTAGTATTGAACATTTGAGCAAGCACAGTTCCATGCGCCGCCACGAGTTTGTAGCTATATTATAATCGTCTGTTCGTGTATTGTGTTCTCTTTCTGGTGTCGGCGCGCACTGATGCTTGCGCGTGCGCGTGCGAGTGTGCGACTGCGACAATCATGGGTGTGGGATATATTATTATTGCTCATGCTCAACGACTGTAGTCGGAAACGTCGAACATTGAACGGTCCCTAGCTCCGACGCATCTATGTTCATTATTTGTGTTCTGCGAACGCGTTCGAGGTCGATGCGGGCGGCGTGCGTTATTATACCATGATTTTTGTTCTCTATTCCACCTTATTGTACTTTCCGCCTAGCTAGCTCGCTCGCTCTGCTGCCACAGCAACGGAGCGTCGGAGCAGTGGCAAGTGGCAACCGTGGTTGCTATCGATCCGAAATTCCGAACGCCGCCGCCGCCGCCGCCACCGCTCGACAGGCACCGTCGCAATCCCCGCGCTATACGCTGCTCTCCTCCGGGCTCCGACGCTGAACACCCGTCCGGCGTCCACTGGTGCCTTGCTCCGCTCGACGGCCGACACCCGTTCCCCGCGCTTCTGCGTTATTTTACTATTACAGGCGAAGCAACTTAACCTCAGACACCGCCGCCATCGTACCGCACCGGCACACAAACAACCGGTCGTACGCAATGACATCGTTATTTTATTAATATTATTAATAAACTCGCGACAATAAAATAATATTGGTTTTCCTATAGCTAACATATAACAAATTTTATTACAATTAATCGTTTATAATTATTACTTTATATTTTTGTCATTAATTTTGACACAACGTCGATTGGACAAAAAGGCAAAACAGTAAAACACTGTTATTATAAATAACGCTCCGGAATTGAATATTGACATATTATTATTGTCTTCATTTTTCCTCTCTCTTTCTTTTTTCGTGTGACATGCTTCGTCATGACATCAAATACTATAGATAACTATTGTATTTGATTACATCCTAAACATTTAACCATTAACTATTGCGGCTGTAGTTGCATTTATTTATTTCGTCTTGGAAAGTATTGTTAATACATATTATCTACTATTATTCTTATCACTATTTGCTACGTATGATACTATAAAATATCACGATATTTTATTGGTTTTTCAACAGTAATTTTGAAATTACAAACCATATTTAATATCTGTTTTATTGAGGATCTACGGACTACGACATACCTTATCTATGTCTATGTAATTTTGGTCATGACTTAACTCTTTTTAATAATAATTTTTTACTTTTAAGTATTTAACCATGATCTTGGTATTTTAGTATTTATAAATAAGTATAGATATTTTTTTTATCACGTTTATCATACACCATATCATGATCCATAGGTGGAAAACTGGAAAACCTTTTTTAGGTCAAGTACCAAATTTTTCCTGTGACTAGTCGTAAAAACTAATAGTACATATTTAATGAAGTAATAATATGCTAACATAAAAAATTTCACATAGGAATATTATGATTTTCTTAAATGTATATATTACTTATATAATTGCACCTAATGTGCTGAACCATTTTTATAACAATAAACGAAAAAAAATGTATATAATTTGTTTMTTTGAATTTCTTTGAATCAAAAATGTATGAAAAGCATAATTTTATAATTTAAATTTATTGTGTTCCAATGAAACCAACGTGTCACCTTTGATACGCATGCGGTAGGTTCACTGCCCCTACTCTATATGATATAAAATTATATTATACGATACGCTACAAATTTGGTTACAATTATTTAGTTATAAGTTATTTTTTTTTTCAAATAAATTTAAACCAATGATTTAAATTACGGAATTTTGGTTTAGGGACATTATAAAAATATATACAGCGCCATGAATCTTTTATTTCAAATTAATCGTTGTACAATTTATATTTGTATTTAACATAGGTACGGTCAAGTATAGAATGATGAGTGTAATATTAAAAAATGCGTGTACAAATGTAAAGTATAAACCTGGCATAATGTAAAATGTATTAGGTATTAATAATTGTTAATATTTTTCTGTATGACGTAATGGTAATTCGCTTTCTTCATTGTTATACTCATAACTCATGGATATAAATGTATATCATATTTGAACATAAATAATTACAAATATCATATATCATTTACTAGTACAAAAACTTTATTTATAATTAATAAGTATTAGTATGTAATTATTTACGTTTCAACAGACATTTTTTTCAAATTTCATTAACAAATCATACAATATTTTAAAGTTTTTTTTTAATTCATATTAAATATTTTTATTGTGTTAAAATAAATTAAGAGGCTGTCACACCTGATGTAATGTCACTTGTCGCCGTCTTAAAAACGCACTCATACTACATGGAAAATTTGCGTTCAGAAGTTTAGACCAAGTGAAACGAATAACAATAAATCATGTGGATGACAAAGGTTATGGTTTTAAAATGTAAATATATTACAAGATCTCTCATATTAATTATTATTGAAATTGTTCTTTTAGAAATTTAAAAATACTTTAAATACAATATATATTATATAAGTATAATAAAGTATAATTTTTTTTTTTTAACATTTGAAGTTCAGATAACACTAAATTAGTTATTTAAACGAAGAATAATGATTTAGGTTATTTTGTTTTAATTCAAAAATAATATTGGTTAAGACTTGAAACGCTTTTGTATATATTATTATAACATACCTACGCAAACACAATGTCATTTCCAAAATATTTAAATTATTTTAAAGAGTACGTCATGCCCGTATGTGTTGTCTGTCTTACTAATGCATTATTAGTATAATTACCAAAATATAAGTCTCCAGCATGAATATGTAAAATATACAAACAATTTACAATTTAAAAATACTCATAACTTGTTTTAAAATTAAAATATAATAAAAAACCTTTGAGATGCTTTATGATATGATAAGCTTAGTTTTAAATTTCATTATTGGTCATTGAAGTCAATCCCAATCCTCTCTAATTTTTAAATTAACAGAGCTAGACGTGATCTGCTGAGCGTAAAGTTTGGTATGTTACACACTTGTTATAGACGAAGACAGCAAAATATGTCCGTTTAACGTCCCTTTAACATCTTTTGCAGTTTTGCGTTAAGTCGGCATTAAACTCAAAATTTAATAACAATTATGTATACGATATAAATAATAAATGTATACTATTTTAATTAAATATGAAACCAGATTTTATCAGAAGAATATTATTTACGAGTAGATATTTACGATATTATAGGTATTTTGCAATAATTCAAAAATAGTATTTATAGTTTTTAGGTAGGTACTTGAAACTTGAATCTTTTACGTATATTATTAAAATTTCTACTCATGATGAAATTTTTAAAATAATAAAATATGTAGTTTCATTTAAAGCTATTAGTATTGTCCATTCTATTCACGCCGTTCTATGGTTAGTCGATCTCGATATTGACTTAAATTAATATGAAATTTAATAACAATATCATAATAATTAATAATCAATAATAATAAATGAGATATGTTCAGAAAAAATTAAGTCAACTTACCCTTTTACTAATTTACTATTAGTAATAAAAATAAATAAATTACTATAGTATCAAATAAATATATTATATTATTATAATAAATAAGATTTACCTACATTTTGTCACGCCTACATTGCAAGTTAAATTTTTCGACGCAGCTTGAGCGTTAGGAAACGACCTTTTTCCGTCCAATGGACAGTAAATTGTTTTTTTCCGACCTGCGGTAAAATGAAAATCTCCCGTTACGCAGTCGTCGGAAAAGTGACTTCAAATCGGATCAATACATGAACGTATCATTTTGTCTAATACATCAAATACTGGCTAGTAGGTGGGTTACTATACTTACTTACTAGTAAAGTTAGTACATAGTTATTCCCTAGTCGTTCGGTACAAAATAGTTTGTCGAATCAATATGCCAAAAATATCGAGAAAAATACTTATATTATAGATTGTCATAAAGTCAATAGAGCCCGATAAAAGCGTTTTCTGAGGCGGCAGAGATTGACAAAAAATAGTACTTAGATGTGCGGCTCACTTGGGAAGTCAATGTTCAGCCTTGTGTGGCGAACAAAACCACAAACGTCACCCGTGACTGAAATAGCTCACTTCTCAACTCCCGCCGCTGCAGTCACAAAATAGTTTAAGACGAAACAATAGTAATAAAGGCCGACGGTCTGTCACTATTCAGATTCGTTATTCGTATGCAATGATTTATCGTATTGAATTCAAATTAGCACATTCATTACAGTGACCTATACGGATATACTCAATGACGTCGGTATACTTATTGACACTGCATACCATAACATTTACTTAACTCTTGTCGGGCTTTTTAATTTTGTATTGTTATTTGTAATATTGGACTATTGACGTGAATACAATTATACCAAAGAAATTATAGGTACTCTATAGGTTGTATTAAAAAAAAATCCATTCGTTAGCACAACCATTTCATCTCAAATTAAATTTATAGTTTAAAATATTTATTTATTTTACATGAAAGAGTTAAGATTTGAAAAATAATAGTTAATACGTACATAATATATAATATAAAAATATAATTGATACCTATTATTAAATGCCAAGAATCTAATTAAATTGGATTCTTCAGTAATATAAAGATTTTACCAACATTAGGTATTTACTATTTAGGCCTTAGAGACACTAATACAAAAATTATTTATACATTTATTCATTTATATTGAAAGTGTAATTATTATTATACCTCTAAAATAAATTAAGCAAGTACCTACCTATTCTTCTTTCTACTAAATGTTTTTTTCTTTTACCTGCAGATGTACAATAATGAAGTTCGTGCACTATATAAATATATATGAATTCATCTATTTTTACTCATATATGATATCACTTATATATATATATATATATATATATATAAATAAGTATATTTAATGTACGCACT